TTAACAACATTTCCTGATTAATTAATAGAATTTTGATTAAAATGGTAATATAATTATATTAGAAGCGTTTTTGAAATACATTGTTGTCTTGAGATCTGTTTAAAAATTTCTTCCGATATAATTTTATTTTGTTAAAAAATGCAATATTTCTGGACACACGTTGTTGTTTCAAAAATAATAAGTTTATATATTCTCTATTACCTTTTAAACATTGTCAGTGTTGTTTCGAAATATTTACAACTCTGATAAAAATTACGGACAGAAAAGGATATGATTTCTATCGGCTAAACTGTAAGCTTATCTTTATCTGTATAGACAGCTAACAGAAACTGATAGAAATCTTGTCTGTTTCTATCCGATTCTGTCCGCCATTTTTACCAAGGAAAACCAACTGGCACAGAACATTTAGTTGACATATTATCAGCATATGCAGCATTCGTTATTTGGCATATGTTGCCGTCATGTTGTTGTTAACATGCTGTTGAGTATGAATAGCATACCGATGACGAGTTGCTTTCAAGTTGTCGCCAATTTGCTATCAATATGTTGATAATTGCGGATGACAAATTGACAACACGAGTTGTCGTTAAGTGAATAGTAGATTGATGCTGACATAGTGCCATCGATTTGTCATTATTAAAATTATCATTCCATTGAGTTCAATGCGACAGACATAATGCTGTCTCACCTTGTCCTGAGTTTGTTTAAATTAGTTGCAACGATTGTCGATTATGTGACAGCAAATTTGAAATATTTTGCTATCTGAGTCAGTACTGAAAATTTTTAGTATTAAATCATAATAGTATAGTTATTTATAATAGTATAATAGTGCAATAATTAAAGTTTATAATATAGTTATAAAGTTCTTATTGTTATAATATTAATATTACATATACTTATAAGCTGAACAAGACTTATCTGATTGTGATATGTATACATAGGAATATTAAGTATAAGTGAAGCTAAAAAAAGATGGCGATATCTTAGAGATTCTTTTTTAAAAGCAAAAAGAAAGGAACATACTTACATTCCAAGTGGATCCGCTGATGAAATTAAATAAAAGAAGAAATTCTTTCCGATTTTATGAACAAATGAAGTTTCTGGACGACGACTTGCGAAAGTCTGCGTAAGTTGAATAATATAGCGTAAAAAGAGATATTTGAAATAGGTATTTAAAATAGAGACAAATTCTGATTTGACACTTTAGATTTGACTTTATTTAATTCTTTTCTTTCAAAGATTCTTAAATATTTCTTAATTATTTCTTTAATGTTAAGATGTGACCCAAAATATAAGTACCATTTTGTTTAGGACGTATACTAGTTTACCAACAAACATTATAAACAACAATAACGATAATGAAATTGAAGCCATTGAGTCTGAATCAACATGCAGTAACATTTTGAATTCGAGTCCTATGAAAAGTACTAATTCGGAGTCAAATAAAAGTATATCCTATATTAGTATTCACTTTATTAGAAATTCTATTAAATTTTTTTCATGTTAAAAATCAATAATATTTCAGAAAGAAAGTTGACAAATCGAACAAAATGAATGAAGAATTTAATGAAGCTGTTATTGCAACATTACGAGACAATAAACAACCTGATGAAATTGACGGATTTGTACTGTTATTAGGAGAAGGATTAAGAAAATTGCCATATAGAGAACGAACAAAATTACAACTAAATTGACATGGTTATGGAGGAGCAGGAAAAGTTTTATCAACCAATGCAAACTTATTATAGCTAAGTGTCACAGATATTACAACACAATTTTTTTGATATTATAACACAGTTTAATTTATATAAAGGATAAATATTTACAGTAAAATATAATAATATTCCGTAGTATTATATTAACTATTATTATTACTATTAATAAGAAAATACAATATAGTATAGTATATAATAATATTATTATATAATTATTATTATTATTACTCTATTATTACTATATTATATTGTATTTTCTTGATATAATGTATTTTATAATCCTATTTTTATGTTATGAAAAAATAAAATATGTATATTAATATAATAATAATATATAAGTTTTGTTATATCAAATAAGTCATCTCTTAGTTATATTTTTAAATTAATATTAAATAATGTTATTTTCAAATAAAATGTATATGTGTCATTACCTACATACATACAAAAATAAGCCTTGCAAATAAATTCCTCAAAGTCATCATATATCTTTATGTTTAAGAATATACCTACATTTTACAAACTGACATCTATTTACAATACAATTTATAACTTATTTTTA